GCATCTTTATATATATAAATGTTACCGCAATTTATATCGTTTTTTTACGTAATGCATCTCTATGTATATAAATGTTATCGCAATTTATTCTCATTTTTATACGTAAATGTAAGTAGGTATATATATATACGTATATACATACGTACACATATATACGTACATACATACGTGAAGATACGTAAATATGCGTGAAGATACGTAAATATGCATACGGGTTTTAACCCGTACGCATATTTACGTATAAAATAAGTATGTAAAACGTACGTGAATATATGTAAATATGCGTACGTGTTTTAACCCGTACGCATATATACGTATAGATGTTAAGTTTCAATTTTTGTACCTATTTATATCGCTTTTTCTATGTAATGCATCTCTATATATATAAATGTTACCGCAATTTATATCACTTTTTTTTGGACGTAAATGTAAGTAGGTATATTTACCGCAATTTATTCTCGTTTTTACCGCAATTTATATCGCTATTTTTATCGAAATGTATGTACTTATTTATACATCTATTTGTATGTTCTTTTTTCCAAAATGTATGTATCTATCTTCGGGTATGTATCTTCATATATATATGTATCTATCTATCTATTTATACAAAATAAATTTGTATTTCAGGAAAAATACGAATCTTTACTGACTTTGAGGGCTCATACCTCAGTCATTAGAGATATTTATAAAGTACTTGGCGACAACGAGATGCGTCTGAACATGTTCACAAACACATGTTTCGGGCCTTGGTTGGATTTATCCAGCCCCTATTCAGACTCGTGTCTTGTTAATTGGATGGTGCAATGTGAGGACCCCTCCATCGCTTCGAAAACGGATGAAATTTATTATAATGTTGGAGGGTTCAACCTACGGTTTGGCAGAAATGAGTTCTGTCTGATCACGGGGTAAAGATTTGGGCCGGATCTTCGCCCGTCACATTGCACCGTGGCCAACATCTTACGAATTTTTTTTCCAAACAATCTTCGTAATACTAAAGTGGGACATTTTAAAAAGAAAATGTCCGACTTAAATAATGTATCAGACGATGACACAGTGCGTGTCTGCCTGGCCTTCATGCTCCACTCATTTTTTCTGGGATGCAAGCCAACCCACAACATTGAAGACTGGATTTTGCATCTAGTTGACAATCTGGAGTCCTGGAACCGATACCCATGGGGCTCATACATCTAGCGTCTAACATACCCTCAAATAAATAATGCTTTCGAGCGGTGCAGACACAACAATTGACCGCCCTCGAAGTTTACACTATACGGTTTCATATATACCTTCAAGGTCGGTGAATTTTTAACAACAATGTTAAAGTACTTATTTAGTAATTATTTGACATTCTCTAACAATCAATTTTTTCGTAACCTATCAGATATGGATCTTGGAGGCATTGCCCGAAACTCGACCCTATTTTCGTTATAGTCCTTCCTTCCCGAGGGCTATTGGATGGAAACGAATAAAGATGATGAATTGGGAAGAGTGTTGTGCACTATCCACCATTGGTAAGGTTTGGTTTCATTGATTATAATTTTAATATTTGACAGCTTTTTTTTAACTATGTTTAAAGTTTTATATTGATTTATATTTTTATAGAAATCCTCTCGGCCCCTGACCGAGTTGGTGCGACATATTTGGAGGAGTCGGCCCAATGGTGGATAGAAAGCAGAGAATATATAAAAATGAATAATTATGGTCAGCAGGATAATAACGACGCTCGGACTTCCAACCATCGGGACCACGTCAGTCCTTTGCAGCGAACACGTCTCAAAGACCTACATAAGATCAGCAACCTCGCCATTCATCAGCTGCATATATGGACAAACAATGGCGTGATGAACGGCTCCAACATCGTGCTGAGGTTGATGGGAGGCTCGCTTCAATAGAAGCGAGAATTTCTGATGTTGTGCGTGGACAAAATACGGCTCATCCTCCACGATACAGTAGTCCGCATGACGTCTACGTAAGAGCATTTATTTTTGTCGATGTTTTAATTTGCACGTTAACAATTATATAAACAATAAATTTATACTGGATGTCGCAGTATCAGCCTTCGATGACGCATACGGCCAGATATATACCGGATGAGTTTCCATCCATGGATGCAGTAAATATGTTTAAGGTTTTATTGATTTTAATTTAATAGTTAACAAGTATATTAAACAAATTACTTCTTATAGGATTGTGCGTAAACAGTACATACTGGCACCCCACACCGAAATGGTTTCGATAAATATGTTTAGGTTTTATATTGTTTTTATTTATGAAGTTAATAACTAAATTAGATACACATTTCATCTTGGCTTGTGCGTACACAGTTTATGTCGCAGCAGCAATCTCCGATGGATGCTGCGGCATCTACACCATGCGGCGGCCCATTGCTCGCATAGAAAGAAGATGCCACCTTGCCCGACCTTCCTACAAAGCGAGTGAGCAAGAAATTGTAGTGGCTCTCGACTCCTTTTACGAGGCTAAGGGGCAAAAAGAAGGAGAAGAAGGTAGTTGAGGAAAAGGCAGGCGTTGCCCAGTTGTATGACTCAGGTCGGTTAACCCAGGTTAAGTTATTGACGCTCCCGTATATGGAAGCTGACGTGAAGTTTCGGGGCCAACTGTTGGGCAAGCTTGGTTCATGCTATTTGGGAAACGACGTATGAAAATTACACAAATTTGTATAAGTTGAAAAATTACATTTTTTTTTGCATTTAATTACAATTGATCTATTGTTCTGTATTTTTAGCATCTTAATGATTGGACCATCTATCTTCTCCGCCAGAGGCAACCAACAGACCGTTGGACCATCATGCGGCCTTGTTGGATACCAAGTTTAGCCAACGAAGGGTTTGGGCATGCGGATCAGAGGGTGTGGGGCGATGGTACACGCGAGCCATTTCCATCATGGCGAAATGTCGACCGGGTCGGTAGAATCACGCAACAATTATTTTTCGTACATAAGATATTTTATTTATGAATTCTTATTCACAACTTATTTTCCAGGTATTCATCCCAATTAACATACCGAATGGTCATTGAGTGACCGGGGAGCTCGAACTGAGGTCGTGGACCATATACGATACTTGTCCGCCGCATATGTTAAAGAAAGAAATCATTAGAATCACCCACATGCTGAAGCAGTTCCTCCTCAAATTCCTATTAGAAATAGGATATTATGTAGGGGTCGTGGACCAAATTTCACAGTCGAATGTGAAAATATTTTCAGACGACACGCCACGATAGACGGGAGCGCTCGACGATTGTGGGGTGTTCTACTGTATGTTTGTTGAGCAGTTGTCGTAAGGACTAGAGGTCAATTGTGATACGCCTACCGACGTTCAGGCGATGAGGTTTCGTTAACGTATGGCATCGATATTGTATTCAACGCATCTTGATTAATCCCAAATAAAAAATTTATTCCTTGTAAATGACAATGTTTGCACTATTTTATGAAATGGTCTTTAATAATATTAAAGTGTAAATCACAATTATTCTACAATCGCCTTGATGAACAAAACCATCACACCCACAAAAAAAGAAATCCAACTTATCGTCAACATCGTCATCAATCGGCAAACTTGTAAAACAGCTTCAAAAAGTGACGCTTCAAGATTATTTTTCGACCTTAATAACCTTGGAATAATTAGCACGGATCATGGATACATGGGTGGATCAAGCCAATCAATAAATCCACAATATCGTCCCTACAAAAAAGTAAGAAACACGTATATATATAGGGGCTGGTTCAAATACTAACCCAATATTTTGTGCAAACTATGCTAACCCATCTTAATCGTTCATTTTCTCATCTAACGGTTATTATTAAATGAGATTAAATAAAAAATAATTTAATTAATATGTGTATGAACAATTGTTCAAAGGATAAATTGGTCAAAAATTTGTATTAATTAATATGTGTATGAACAATCGTTCATCTTCGTGCCTATATCAAGGTATGAACATTCATGTGAACCTTATGGTGTGAACCCTAGATATATGAACATTAGTTACACCGTGTGAACCTAATGAACACTATAATCGATATATGTTGGTCATATGATCATGTTCTTCAACCTTGATGCATGCTCGTAGTGATACACATGCACGACGATGAGACATGCACATTAACAAAAACAGGGGTTGTGCAGATAAAACCGATACCTGTACTTTATATCTGTTYRYRCATGATGTTCGTTGTAGGTGGTTTCATATGTGAATTAKTTGTCAATAAGATGAACATATTTAAATCTTCATATCATTATTAGATGAAGATTAATTTGAGATATTGTAGGATTTGTAACTCCTAATTAAAATATTTGGGAGTTACATAAGRATGACTAATGACCTAAATACCCTTATCATTAATATRTAAGTTACATTTTAACCAAACCCAAAGATGCAACATTATTGGTTGATGTGGGTTAGCAAAGTTTGCACAAAATATTGGGTTAGTATTTGAACCACCCTCTCTCTCTCTCTCTCTCTCTCTCTCTCTATATATATATATATATATATATATATATATATAAAAGTCCATTTAGAGATTACGGAACAACCCCTTAACAATTGTAGAAAGCACCTAGCTAGCTTTATGAACAATTCTTCTGAGTATGTACTTAATTGGTTAACAAAGTTAACGGTTGTTATTTGTTAACAAGAACCAGATGAGAAGTATGCAATCTTACCTTATTCTTATTTGAGGGGTGGGACCCTTGATGAAGTAATCTTACAGGTTACATTAAAACAACCGGGTATATAAGATTATGTAATCTTACCTGATTGTTGTTTAACCGGGTAAAATATGTGCCTATCATCGGTTACCATGAGTTCCTATCTGATTAGCTTGCAGAGTAAGATTAGCAATTTCAACCACGTATATTGTGCTATATTCTCTAGCAGCAAGGAATGATTTACATTAAGAAAGAAATAAGAAACTATGTACAAGAAAAATAGTATATACAAGATGAAAAAACAAACAGCCAATGTTTATTGGTAGCTTCCTCAATAGACGCAAAATGATATCATGCAGGGCGGATAGTGTAGTAGGTTTGAGCCACAGTAAGACCAAAGAGGACGAAAGCAGCAAGTAGGGCTATGAAGCTCCAAGGAGTACTGAAATATGTACGCCTCAACCATGCAACATTTTTAGGCCAATAGCCATCGTAATAGGTTTTCAGTTGTCCCCATTCSTTAGTGTAAGAGAATTTGCTTACCGTAACTTCTTTGCATATACTGTTGATCATTTTTGAAGCTTGTTTGCTAGAACCCAAGTTGTTTACAACTACTTCTGATTCTATTGCCATGAGGACGTCCTCATTAGTATCTAATATCCTTTCCATGGCAAAAGCATATGATGTAATGTAATTAGGAATCGCAGGAGAGCACTGCTCGTATGCAATAAGGTTTCTTAAAACTGATTCAGTATAATCTTCAATTTGAAGGAGAGGCATTCTGAAAGTAGGCTTACCCCAAGACCAGACATAGCATGGAACCCTAGATGGTTCGAATTCCATGGCCAGTTGCCATTTTGCATCTACATAAGGCTTAAACTTCACCCCTGCCCTAGACAGTTCTGCAACCGAGTACGATGTTATTGCATTTGAAAGTTTTGCACCCGAGTTTGATATTTTTGAAATCTCTGATAGCATAGCATTTGAAGGCAGGTAACATTTCTGCAAAAGCCCGAGGATATGATCATAATTCGTATGAGCACCTTCATTCTTGAGCACTAGCTCTTTCCCGAAAGGGTTAATTTCTGTTAAAAACGACAGGATAAGCTTAGTAAGAGAGGCACTGGGTCTAAATTTCCTAATTGTACACTCAAAGATGTTTTCAAGAACAAAGAAAGGGATTTGATTTTCTAGCAGGATTAAGTCATGCTTAGCATAAAGGGTGAGCAAGTTGTCGTCAAAAAATGAATGACCCTCATTCTCGTTCACGTTTGACCTGTAAACAAGTTCTAGTATGAAACAACTATCGATAACCATTATTTTTGCAAATTCATGGTCATCATAGGTCTCCTTCTCCCCTCCATAACATGCCTTGATTTGGTCTATTTGAGCAAGCACCCTGTTGACACATTCTTTCATTGTTTGATCCCGTGGGGATCTTAAACGACGAAAAAGATTAAGCAGATACGTCACTTTGTGAACTTCAACTTCTTTCATTTTTTGGATGTCTTTATGGAAAGGTCCAATTGAGACGATACGAGGGCTATAAGATATTGGGTTGACATCACGAAGGGTGTTTGGAACTCTGTAAATGGATGGAGAAAACTGATGGACATGTTTTCGTCTTTTTTTCTCTTCAACAACAAGAATATGAATCTTGCCGTAGATGATATCTGCAGCTTCTTCATGATCAGCAGGTATATTTGCCATCGGTTGTTATTTTTTCCCTGAAATATAAAGTAAAGAAAGCCTTTAGAACTATATGGAATAAGAAGCAACAGGTACTTAAGGATTAGTAAGGCTACCTGGATATTGAACTGGATTAGTTCTCTTTCCTTTCGACCTTGGTCTTTTCCTCTGATGAACACTGCAATCGTATGGCCTTGGCTTTAAATAGACTAATAAAAAGATGATATATGAACTTAAGGCATTGACTTTTTCTGTTTTGTTTTCTCCGTTGCTGTTTTTTATTTCATGAATGAAAAATATTAAATACAATATTTCATCAATGAGGGTTTTTTCTGAATTTTACAACATCTAATGATCGACTCACTTCACCTACAAGCATTTCTTGCGGTTAAAACAGAAAATAGGGAATAATCTCGTACGGTCGTGCCAAGTGATAGATCCAAAAATTCATATTTTTAGCATTCATATCAAGTTGGGATCTGTATACGGTTTTAGTATAAATACAACTCTTCCATCTCCACCTTTGTATCAAGAATTTGAGTGGGAAATTATGGGGAGGATTAGCTTTAATAGTTTTGAGTGTTTATTAATCACAATTTATGATTGCGGTTTCAATTTTTGTGAATAAAGTTCCTCCTTTTTGTGTGTTGATGTCACTACTAAAACCAAGACAATACCGATGGACTTGTCTGTCTGTATTTCCGTCGGAAAAACCGTATATTTACCGATTACCAACGGCTCATTTTCGCCAGAAGAACTTGATTAAAGACTTTACCGCCGACATTTTCTTAGGAGCAAAATGCACAAAATAGCCATCTACTTTCATAAATTTCTTTATTATAGCATTGTACTATCAGTTTTTCTTATTACAACAATATACTTTCAAACTATTTTTTATTAGGACATTGTAATTTGAAAAATTTACCCATTATAACAATGAGTAACCTTTTGATTTAAATTTACCCATTATATTAGGTTTTTATGCTACCTCATTGTCCACGTAGGCTGTCCACATGTACAATAGTGATGTTACTTTCTTACTACATTATGTACTTTCAAAAATATTTTATTATAGCATCTACTAGTTATTATTAAACATTGTATTTTTAATTTTAATATTTAGATATTTTACATGTTATTTAATAAATATATTAAATGAATTAAAAAATATATAAATTATTCATTAATATACCAATATCAATAAAAACTAGTAGAACACAACTTATCTCGCTAATATTTTTCAAAAAATATGTGTTTTTTGAAAAAAAAAAGAAAATAAGAATTGTTCTTTTTTTACCAAAAAATATTATCTTTTAAAGAATATATTGTATTTGTTCAAAAGCTTTTTACTTGACGTATAAATATATTAAATTAATTAGCTTTTTTGAATTATTTATTAATATAACAATATTAAAAAATTGTAGATAACATTTTATTTCGTTAATATTTAAAAAAAAACTTTAAATATATGTATTTATTTGAACAAAATAAAATAGGAAAAGTTACTTTTTTTACAAACAAAATATATCTTGAAAATAATGTTTCATATTTATTGAATAAACATTTTACTCTAAGAATATTTAATTTGCATGCAATTTAATAAGAAAAAGTAATAAAAATAAATATTTTTTCTAGATCATAGCAATGAAAAATGAAAATTACTAATAATAATTTGAAATAGATTTTTATTTTAATTTTAGTTAAGTCATCAAAATGATATGTCATCCACATCATCTCATTAAAGCCACACAAGCAAAAAAGTCAAAGGGTTAACCGGTTTAAAAGGTAACAGGTTACCCATTGCTATTATGGGTAGATTTTTTAAAGTACAATGTCTTAATAAAAAATAATTTGAAAGTACATTGCTGTAATAAAGAAAAACAAAAGCAGAATGCTATAATAAGAAAATTTATGAAAGTAGGTTGCTATTTTATGCATTTAATCTTTTTCTTAGTGTTGAATTATTACGTATGAAAGCATGTGTGAGGGATACATCACTTCATATCTGAAATTATCTTTGATTTCTTGTTGTTATGGTTCGTTCATTGAAGTCATCCAAGTAACCACTCGCCGTTTTTTTTTTCTATTTTGCTTGTGATTCCGCAAGATTTAGAAACTAGAAGGTTTCGAATATTTGATATAGTTATACGAGAGGGTCTCGTAGGAACTAATCTACGGGTTTGCATGGTAGTTATATTGTGAAATGACGCCTTATATAGATAACTCATTATTCCCAATGTATTATGCATTGTTCAAAATATAGTGAATTGGTTCTCCATCTGCAATTGACCCAACAGAGTATCACTTGTGATACACCGAACTCCGCTATGGTCACTTGCTTAGTTGTTTTGTTTGATGTTGTTTCTATTTATTCTGTTATTACAACATATTATCCCTTATGTTACTACATTCCACTAAAACAAAAAAAATACAAACCGTGAAAAGTTTCATGTATGTTTAGTAGTTGAAACAACACATGTAAAAACTAAACACATGAAATCAACAGAAACCATCCAATGGATTTGATTTTTAAGCAGTGATTCATATTGTTTAAGTTGTTTTATTCTTATGTGTGAGTATGAATGTGTTGTTTCGTGTATAAACTCGTTTATGTGTTTTTTCAACGTAAAAAATTGTTCGACATTTCATTCATGAAAAAAAACTACATGAACATTGTATGTTCACTTTGTCTTGTTTCATCTATGAAACAATACATACAAACTGACTTTTATTGATTTCAATTTTTAGATGGTTTCTATTTGATTATCCCCTACATTAGTAAAAAGATATATGATTTGAACTAGCCCAGTTCAACATGTATTAAACACATGTTGCATGGACAACATATAGACGTTTAATTATATATGATTAAACACACCAAAGAAGTGTAATTCTATGTAGATTTGTGTATTTGTGTATTTGTGTGTGTATATCTATACTATACATATAAGCATGGATAACGTTTACGTGTTGAAATTTAAAAAGGTACATCTATATTTGCTTATTGTACAAGGAATAAAGCAGTATTCAGCTTCCCCCTCCACCTACGATCTTCTAGGCTCCATAACTGCATCCCACTCTCCATGCCCCTTCGTAATTCTATGCAATGTATGCAAGTTCCAATCCTACGCCCTCAATTCCATTCTAACTGATTCAAAATCCACCAGCGAGTCAACTCACAGGAATAACAAGTCTAGAAGATTAGGTAGGGTGCAGTTTGAAACCCGATAATCAAAATCCAAAGCCATGTCGAGACATGAAGTCATCTGCTTCAAGGGTTTTATTGTCTATTAGGGTTTCTTTTAAGGTATGAACTCTCTAACACTTTAATCTAAGGTTTCTCTAATTATCTGGTAGAGATTTAGGATTCTTGGAGATTTTTTGGGTGAGTTTATTTTACGTTGTGTTCTTGAAACGTCTTTTACGAAGGATTGGAAAGAAAATTAAAGGAATGAGAGGAAAGTAAAAAAAAAAAAAAACCTCGTGCTCTTGAAATTTTTGTAGGAGAGAAAAAAAAAAGGAAAATAATGATAAGGAAAGAAAATAGAACCCTTTTAAATACTTATTAAAATTACAAAATTATCTAGTCTTTTATTTTAATGAATATATTTTTAAAAGGTATATTAGTAAAAATGATATCTTTCCTTTCTTTTCTCTCGCATTCATAAGCACGGAAATTATTTTCTTTCTTTTATTTTCCTTCCCTTTCGAGAACATAAATAGCAAAATTGCTTTTATTTCCTTTCTTATCCCTCCTTTTCTTTTCCTTCCGGCTTTTCCTTTTCTTTTCTCCCCAAATTCGAGAACACAACATTAAATTTCTTGATGAAAGACATCGTTTATGGTCGATTTTGAGTTATTTCTTGAAAATCTGAAATGTTTAATTATAAGCATCTTTGACGATGTTCTTCCTACCATAATTTTGGTTTATAATTTCTTAGAGTTGTTGGAACTAAACCACTGATTTTAGTATAATTGATTTAGGATGCTAAAATCTTGAGTTAAATGTTCTTTGGGTAAAAGTGGTGTTAAAGGTTTATGAGTTAAGAGTGTGTGTGTGTGTGTGTATATATATAGAGAGAGAGAGAGAAAGAGAGAGAGCTAAGATCATTTGTTAACCATGAAAAATGTATTAACAATACAAAACATTTAAACCAATCACAAGCTTTTGTTAGATTAGATTATTCTATTAACATACAATTAATATTGAGGACATAATGGTAATTTGTTTTTTTTGTCTTAACTTCACATTCATTAATGGGTGGTTACAAAAACATCAATCCCATGATTATAGCTAAAGTAATATGTTTATTTCTTTCCAAATTATAGATGACTTGTTATTTTAATATGATAAGAAACTTGAATATTCTATCTTCAACATATATGTAATCGACATCAATCTTCAAATCAAATAACTGGATTTGATTTATTGAACCATAATAGTGGTGGAGGAGTGTTTGATAGATAAATATTCATAATTAACATATACAAACATGGGTGAAGACGGTAGATCACAATACCAGAAGATTGAAGATCTTATGATCATGAAGTATTGTGTTCAAATATGAAAGCCAATAAACTAAGTAGTCGTCAATGTTCATATAGTGTATATATTGTTCACATGTGTTCCAATGTGTTCATAAAACAATATCTATATACATCTAACATTTGGTCAATATGTGTTTACAAGTGAAACACTTTGATTATATATTATTGTGCTCATATGTGAAAGTTAATTACTTTAGTGTTCAAAAGTTTTAATACATGCAAATAAGTGTTCATAATTGTTCCCGTATGTCCATATGTGAAAGCTACGAACTAAGATTAGTTAATAAGTTATATATATGTTCATAAGTGTTCATAATCCTACACGGATGATTCTATGAACTATAAAAGGAATGATCAATTACTAATTTGTAACCAATATAATTAATTAATTATCGATTTGTAACCGATTTGGACATCTCTACCAAATCTACCCTTGTTCATTTATGTTTTGGTATCCTTCATTTGTAATTAATTACAAATATGCCACAATTGTTCTCATCCATAGATATTAAGAATCAAGGGTCAAGATTGTTCACAAAGTTAACACCAATTATTGGGTTAACAAAAGAACTTGCCTATATATATATACATATATATATATATATATACATACACATACATACATATAT